ACCTCAGTTAACATAGCTGGTTCACTTTTGTGTGACCTCAGTTAACATAGCTGGTTCACTTGTGTCTGACCTCAGTTAACATAGCTGGTTCACTTTTGTCTGACCTCAGTTAACATAGCTGGTTCACTTTTGTGTGACCTCAGTTAACATAGCTGGTTCACTTGTGTCTGACCTCAGTTAACATAGCTGGTTCACTTTTGTCTGACCTCAGTTAACATAGCTGGTTCACTTTTGTGTGACCTCAGTTAACAAGGGATAAAAACAAATCGCTCTGTTTTATCTTTCTGGGTCTTTGCATGCGGGTCGACCATCAAGTTAAGCGACCAACAGAATCTAAAAGCCCATTCATGACAGTGGAGTCACTGCAAACTAAAGTTCCGACTTGTTTTCTTTGATGTAAGCCTAAAGCGGGTAAAAAACATAATAAGGGATTTACAGCGTACACCTAAAACATTGAAAAGTTGACACATTTCCCTCAACACCACTCTTTAACGTTTGCCAAAGAAACACGATTCAAGAGACGGGGTGAGTAATTTTCGAGACTCACGTGGAGACGTCTAGACAGCTGGGGGATGAAATCTACAAGCTTACACTGAAATGTGGGGGCAGGGTGGTGTTGCTGTCTCAAAATGAGCAATTTGTAGGAAAGGCTACTGTAAGTCATTTATTTTAGTGATTCTGTGTATGCATCCAATGAGCGGTGTTTTATCAGGCCCAAAGAAAAAAACTTTTTTATTACTGGGTCAAGGTTTAAAAAAAAAAAAAATTTTGTTTGGTCGCTGGTCTGCAGAAGTGCCCTGCAAAGTTTCCTGAGCAAAAGTAAATTCCTGGATTTGCTAGAATTTTTGTTAACACGGTCAGACGAAAGTGAACCAGCTATACGTGTTTTCTACTGACCATGCGTGTCATGAACTTGTGTGGTATTATCATTATGAATGACCACGCGTGTCATGAACTTGTGTGGTATTATCATTGTGAATGACCGCTTGTGATATTGTCATTGTGAATGACACGCGTGTCATGAACTTGTGTGGTATTATCATTATGAATGACCACGCGTGTCATGAACTTGTGTGATATTATCATTGTGAATGACCACGCGTGTCATGAACTTGTGTGATATTATCATTGTGAATGACCGCTTGTGATATTATCATTGTGAATGACCACTAGGAGCATAGATTGAAGTTGTACCTGATGGTCGAGTGTGGTCACGTACCGTGGTCATGTTTGTGTTTGTGTGTGTTTGTGGTCATGTTTGTGTGTGTGACTGTGGTCATGTTTGTGTGTGACTGTGGTCATGTTTGTGTGTGACTGTGGTCATGTTTGAGTGTGTGACTGTGGTCATGTTTGTGTGGGACTATGGTCATGTTTTTGTGTGTGTGCAACAGGATGGCAAGCAGTACGGGGACGAGTACCTGGCAGAACTGGATTTTATCGAGGTGGTAGAGCGACAGAAGGAGGGGTACGAGAGCGACGTGGAGGGGATGGACTTCTCGGACGACGAGAACGACGCCAACTACAAGGCCTCCAAGGACTCAGAGGAAGACAGGTACGTGGGCGGCCTCTGGCGGCGTCGGAGGAAGACAGGTACGTGGGGCGGCCTCTGGTGGCGTTGGAGGAAGACAGGTACGTGGGGCGGCCTCTGGTGGCGTCGGAGGAAGACAGGTACGTGGGGCGGCCTCTGGTGGCGTCGGAGGAAGACAGGTACGTGGGGCGGCCTCTGGTGGCGTCGGAGGAAG